AAAGAATAAGTGTGCTAATAATTTTGTTAAGCCCTATCCTCTGTAGCTGTTAGACACGCCATGCTTACGGGCACGTAGTACATTCTGTGTCCTTGTACTTTAACCAAGATATCTGTGCTGGACGTGCCCATGAGCACGACCCAGCTCTCCATTGGTTTCACCTGTTTAGAAAAGTTTTAGGTTGTTAGCCAATTGGGATTTAGTTTAGATTGTGAGGTCTGGCTCCAGCCAACGGAGATCAGGCACAGCAGTAAGGACGACCCCGAATGTGTAAGGAATAAATTTGTGTGTTTTCCTCTGTTCTTTGTACTCTCGTGGCAAGATGGCTGGCGAGGGTCCCCTTCCTGCAGCCCAGGAAGTAAAAACTGCGTTGCTGAGAGATCCTTTGTCTCCGTGCTGATTGTTCTTTGCAGCACGGAACATCTATTTCCAGCAGCCGTCCAAAGTTCTGAGATTACAGGAGTGAGCTACCATGCCCAGTCAAAAGTTCCTATTTTGAGGCTTTTTTTTTTCATTAATATTTTGTAGAGACAGGGTCTCACTATGTTGCCCAGCCTGGTCTCAAACTCCTGACCTCAAGTGACACTCCCATCTTGGCCTCCCAAAGTGTTGGGATTACAGGCATGAGACACCACACCTGGCGTTTGAGGCTATCTTAAAATTTCTGTTTTGTTTTGCATAGAAATGCAATTTTTTTTTTTTTTTTTTTTTTGAGACAGAGTCTCAGCGTTGCCCAGGCTGGAGTGCAATGACGTGATCTCGGCTCTCTGCAACCTCCACCTCCCAGGTTCAAGCAATTCTCCTGCCTCAGCCTCCTGAGTAGCTGGGATTACAGGCACTCACCACCATGCCCGGCTAATTTTTGTATCTTTAGTGGAGACGGATTTCACCATGTTGGCCAGGCTAGTCTTGAACTCCTGACCTCATGATCTGCCTGCGGCAATTATTTTTATGCATTGTGTTATATACAGATACCTTGCCTCCTGTCGACCCAAAGTGACATCAAGGAGCTCTCCTAAGTGTTTATTTGGGAAGAGCAAGGGGATTGCAGTCAGGATGTGTGTGCCATGCCGGTGGGCATTCTGGGGGCTGTTTGGGATGAAGGTGACACTTTAAAAGGCAAAGAATTCCACATGAGCTGCTCTAGAAAGAAGTTCACAGGTCACGCCGCTCACGGCAGGAGGCAGTGCTGTTCACTGCGAGAGTGGCCATCGCTGGGCGGGTGCCCGGGTGGGCGCCCTCGTGCCAGTGGGGGATTCGGAAGCTGCAGTGCTGAGGCGCTCCTGGGTGAGTCCTGCTACAGGCAGGCCCGAGAGGGCTTCCTCCCGGAGGAGGAACTCAATCCCGCACAGAGGGCCTATCCGTTTGACTCTATTTTGTACCAGCAACTTCCACACTCGTATTAAGATAATTTCCCTGTGAATTCAGGGATTTTGTCACCACCAGTTACAAATAGTAACAACTGAGTGTCTTCCTTACAACTATGTACTGTCCAGCTCCTTCCTGAGTTTTCGATGCCAGCTGTGACGTCCAGTAGGTTTGAACAGAGAGGTGGCGGGGGCCTGGGCCAGCTCCTGCCTGAGGGAGTGGGCGAGCTGCCCGTCACTGCCTCTTGGCTCTGGCCCCACCCCGCCGCCCCTCTGTGACCCCAGGTATCTGCTTCCAGCTGATGTGAACCCGAGGGCCCCTGGAGGAGGGCAGAGCTGGGCTTCCTGGTTCCAGAGGTTTTGAGGGCAGATTTCAGATTTCAGCGCTGGGTGACTGCCGCCTGTAGCCCTTTCCCCAGGTGGCTTTCCCAGTTCATGCCCACTCAGGACAGGGTCTTGGGGTCCTTCCTTGGCTGCGCCCTTAGTCTCTGGCGCACCCTGTCCTCCAGCCCCACTGGAGCTCACAATTCCACAGAGTCTGCTGCCTCCTGGAGTTCTGCAGGGCGTGCAGAACAGACCACAACCCTGGGTTCCCAGCATTGCTCACTTTGATCCACGTGTGGCCCTCTCTGATTTGCTCATTTATTCATTAAATTCATCCACTAAATATTTAAAAACACATAGCAAGTACCTGTGACGAGAACCCCTGGTCCAAGAATAAAATCCTCAACACTTTGGTTCCTCTGGGCTCTGTCCCTGATGCACCCCTACGCTGGGTAACCCCTCTTCTGATTTGCAGCCAGAGTGCCAGCTTCTGCTGGAAGCTCTGCAGCACCCGGTCACCCCAGAATAAAAGTTCTAGAGGGCACCAGGCCTGCCCCACAGGTGAGTGACCTTTCCTTTGTTTCACACCCATCTGGTAGCCAGGTACAGCTAAGAGATGCCCCTGAGTAATGTAAAATGCACACATTAAAACATGTAGGATTGCCAAGGAAACCAACTGTACTGAAATAGTTATCACAATCGCTCGTAAAATGGTGACAGAGGCAATGTAGGCACCTTTACTGACATTAAATGATGAAATATACACGACAGGTAAGTTGTCAGTTTTAAGCACAGAGGATGTGGGCTGAGGATGGGTTGAGCACTCGGAAGCCCTTGGCAGGCCCCTCTACCTCCTTCATGGTCCAGCTCCAGTGACACCTGCCACGGGCCCACACTGCCCCCAGTCTGTGTGGAGGGGTCTGTGTGGGTTGCCGATGGGTTAGGTAGGTCTGACCCTTGTTCCAAGTTAGGGGCAAGCAGGGGGAGGACATGTTGAAAAGAGGACAGAGGGGTGGGTGGAAGGGGTCAGTGGATACCACAGCATGGACGTGTGGTGGGAAGGATGTGATGGTGTGTTTGCCAGGTTCCTAGCCCATTACTGCTGTGTCCCAGCACCAAGGACAGGGCCTGCTATGTATGGCTGGCAGAGTGGGTAGATGGCTGGGTGGGTGGATGGATGGATGGATGGATGGATGGATGGATGGATGGGTGGGTGGATGGATGGGTGGATGGATGGATGGATGGGTAGATGGATGGGTAGATGGATGGGTGGGTGGATAGATGGATGGGTGGGTGGCTGGATGGATGGAGGGGTGAGTAGATGAATGGGTGGGTGGATGGACGGATAGATGGGTGGGTGGGTAGATGGATGGGTGGGTGGATGGATGGGTGGGTGGATGGATGGATGGGTAAATGGATGGGTGGGTAGATGGATGTGTGGGTGGATAGATGGGTGGGTGGATGGATGGAGGGGTGGGTAGATAAATGGGTGGGTGGATGGATGGATGGATGGGTCGGTGGGTGGATGGATGGATGGGTGGGTGAGTGGATGGATGGATGGATGGATGGATGGATGGATGGATGGGTAGATGGATGGGCGGGTGGGTGGATGGATGGATGCATGGGTGGGTGGGTAGATGGCCGGGTGGGGGTGGGTGGGTGGACGGATGGATGGGCGGGTGGGTGGGTGGATGGATGGGTGGGTGGGTGGGTGGATGGATGGATGGGTAGGTGGATGGATGGGTGGGTGGATGGATGGATGGATGGGCGGGTGGGTGGATGGACGGGCGGGTGGGTGGATGGATGGACGGGCGGGTGGGTGGATGGATGGATGGATGGATGGACGGGCGGGTGGGTGGGTGGATGGATGGGTGGGTGGATGGATGGATGGGTGGGTGGATGGATGGGTGGGTGGATGGATAGGTGGGTAGATGAATGGGTGGGTGGATGGATGGATGGATGGGTGGGTGGCTGGCTGGCTGGGTGGGTAGATGGATGCGTGGGTGGATGGATGGATGGATGGGTAGGTGGATGGATGGATGGGTGGGTGGCTGGCTGGCTGGGTGGATAGATGGATGCGTGGGTGAATGGATGGATGGATGGGTGGGTGGATGGATGAATGGGTGGGTAGGTGGATGTATGGATCAGTAGGTGGAGGGATGGATGGATGGGTGGGTGGAAGGATGGGTGGGTGAATGGATGGATAAATGGGTGGGCGAGTGGATGGATGGGTGGGTGGATGGATGGGTGGGTGGGTGGCTGGATGGGTGGGTGGATGAATGGATGGGTGGGTGGATGGATGATGGGTGGGGAGGTAGATGGATGGGTGGGTGGGTAGATGGATGGATGGATGGGTGGGTGGGTGGGTGGGTGGATGGATGTGTAGGTAGGTGAATGGATGGGTAGGTAGGTGGACAGATAGGTGGGTGGATGACGGATGGGTGGGTGGGTAGATGGATGGATGGGTGGGTGGATGGATAGATAAATGGATGGATGGGTGGGTGGGTGGATGGTTGGATGTATAAATGGATGGATAGGTGGGGGGATGGAGGGATAAATTGATGGATGGGTGGGTGGGTGGATAGGTAGGTGGATCAGTTGCGGGCTGGCTATGTCGATACAGTGTGCATACGTCCTACTCTCTGAGGCCGTGCCCCTTAGGGTGGAGTGGCCCACTAGATCTGGTTTCCACCTGCCTCCAGCTCCCTCCCTGTGTAACCTGGGGAGGTCTCTGCCTCCTAGGGGGCTCTTGTGGGCTTGAGGCACAGGAGACTAGGCACCACCACAAAGGTATACCTGGCAAAGGCCTATACTCAACTCCAGGGGTTTCAAAAGCCAGGCAGGTCCTTGCACCTTTCTGTGCCCAGTATCAGCATCTGGACAGACCAAGCCCCAAGTGTTGCTGGGAACCCCTCCATCCAGGATCCCCAGGCAGGCAGGACACCACAGTGGAGTGGGGCCAGAGCCTGCACCCTGACCCCAAGGCGCTGCCTGCCTCCACCTCCCTCACCCCACCCCACCTGCAGTCCTTGCCCCTCGCAACCTGGTCTCCTGTCTTCTGGAACTGAAGTCCTGCCTCCTGCTGCCAGCGTCCGATGCCCACTTCTGACAGGACTCGGCCCTCAGCCCACCTCACCCCACAGTGTCGCCCAGGCTGGGTCACTACCTGAACACCCCGTAGCCAGCAGCCGTGGGGCCCCAGGGAGTGGCGGGCTGGCAGGGGCACTGAGGGCCTGGGGTTGGTGGCCCAGCTGGGTCCGGCCACCTACAGTTCCTGTGGCCCTGCCAAGGAGGTGGACAGCCCTGAGCCTTAGCACAAAGCATTTTAGGTTTATTTAAATAAAAATTATAATTTATACAAGACTTCTTCTTTAAACAAACAAAGTTTTCTTTAAAAAATGTTACAGGGAAGTTTTTTCATCGGTTCTTAATACGGTCCAATCCTTTTGTTGAACAAAAGTCACACTGGCAACAATTATTCACAGATCCAAAATAGACTCAGGCTTCAGACATAAAAAATTTAACATTCATCTAGTTCAGTGATTAGTCATAGAAATTAAATATCTGCCCAGATGTACACAGTTTGGTAAAAACTACAGCTTCTCTCAACAGGGAGCCCAGAGCCTGCGCCAGTCTGAGTTCTGCTCTGAGGACCTCCAGGGAGGGGCCTGTGCTGGCAGCCATGGCCCTCCCTCTCCCCGCTTCCAGCAGCCGGCCCTGCCTGGAGGTCTGCGGCCACACACGGCAGGTGGTCAGTTTTCATCTCCCTTTCTCCAGAAAAGGGACTCGAACTAAACCACACGACTCTGGTAAAGGAGCCCCATCGGCCCCAGGGAGCCCTCCTGCTGTGTTTGGGGACAGAATCTCAGCACCTAAGAAGAGGCGCTCACTGGCCTGGAGGCCCTGGACCCACCCTCAGGCACTGCCCAGCCCAGCCCAGGGGAGAAGGGTGTGACATCGACTGTAGCACTGCCCCTACAGCCACCCCTGGGGGTGGGTCAGCACCCACCCTATGTTGCCTTGTTGCCTCAGGCAGCGAGGTGGGGTTCACTGAGGTGGGCCCCCTCCCCTGGTGCACCCCTCGAGGGGCCAGACCCATGGCTCAGAGCGGGTTCTGCCCCCATTCGTCACCTGGACGCCGATGTCTGTGCAGCCTAGAACTGAGGGGGTTCTGCTGCCCGGGATGGGATGTGTGCTTAATCTGGTGGTCGGCGCGGCTCCCTGCAAAGCACCCCGGCCCCAGCGTGTGACCCTGCAGCCCCCAGGAAGCAGGTGAAACCAGCCCGTGCCCCCGGACCCCTCACCCACACCAGGAAATGAGGATTGGAGCAAAGGTAAAAATTACATCTGAAAAATGATATAAAAATAAGAAAAACAGCTTGCTCTCTGTAAAAAATATAATCTTCTGTTTCTTCAAAAAACAACAATCTCAACGACACCCAAGGGACGAGCTGAGGGGGCTGCGGAATCCACCCCAGCAGACGCGCAAGCCACCTCCGTCCATGAGACCCAGGCCTCCTTTCCCTCCCTTCAGCCCAGTGCAGGAGGCCCCAGCGAAGCAGGCCTGTGGGGTGCTCCCTCCACAAACCCACCTTGTTCCCAGGAAGTGCAGGCTTCCCTGGGGCGGGGCGGGGGCTGGGAGGGGTCTGTGCTGAACTGGCACGACTAGGCACGTAGGGGAGGGAAGACTGTGCCGCCTCGGCTGTAGACAGTGCAGGCCCAAGCCTCTGGGCTCGGCTCACAGGCGCTCCCTAAAGCACAGGGGCTGCCCGAGCTGCTCCCACGGCCCAAAGGTGGCTGCAGCCTGGGCCACCACGGACCCGGAACGCTGCTGCCCGCTCCCTCCCCCCACCAATCCAGGCAGCCGCAGCCTAGAGGCCACGGGCTGGACAAGCCACAGTGCTCAGAGCACCCCCGACAGCCTTCTTGGATGTTCTCCTGGGCCTTCCAAAGAGCCAAGTGTGAGAAAGATGTGCTCTTCCCTGCACACCATCCTGTGCCCTTACTGGTCACCCGCCACAGACCTCCTGGCCGGTGCGTCAGGCAGAGAGCAGCAGGCGCCCTCACTGATGAGGGGCTGAGCGCCCTGGAGGCTGGCGAGGAAAGCGCCACGGAAGACACCGAGGGCGGGCAGAGGGCGGGCAAGGGGTGGGCCCGTCTCACTCTCCTGCTCCCATGGAGCGAGTGTAGAGCACAGGCAGGGACGCTGTGCCCGGCCCTGACCCGGTGCCAAGGGCAAACCCAGCAGGATGGTCTTGTGGAAGGGGAAGGAGGGCTGCCAGGCCTGTCTCAGTGGTTGGTGAAGCTCCCCCATGTCCCTCCACGATGACATCTTCCTGTCCCCAGGGGGAGGGGCCTGCACTCCTCAGCTATGGCTTTGGTGGTGGACGAGCTTCCGGCCTCTGGAGAGCAGGACACAAGGTTGCGAGAACCTCTTGGGGCAGCCAGAGAGGTTTCTCTGTACAGGCTAGAATGGAGAAGGGCAGGGCCCGGGGTCCTGTATGTCCTCTCCATGGGCCCCCGAGGGCCTCTGCCCCCCCAGTCCACAGGTGTCCCTCAGAGGGACACCCCCGTCCCTGTGAGCCCTGGCCCCTTCATGGCCAATGAAACGCAGAGGTCAACACAATAGAACCACAGGTCCAGGAGAATTATTGCAAAAGCTCATGAGGATGTCCAATTGTCTCCACTACCAAATTGTTAAAAAAAAAATTCCAGCAATGACCCGGGCAAGTCAATACTAGCTGTCACCGCCGGATGCTGCCGCTGAGGTGATCTTGATGTACTGGCTGAAAATGGTCTCGAAGGCCTCATCCCTGTGCACCATGGCGCCAAACACGAGTGGCTGGCAGGGAAGAAATGCCAGCAGTGAGCGGGGCACAGCCAGGCTGGTGCCAGGACCAGGACCAAGATGAAGTCCAAGAGCAGCCCAGGCCAGGCCAGCACACAGTCACATGGGTCTGGGTGCAAGAGACAGATGTCCCCCCACCACCCAGCACGACGGGCTCCCAGCCTTCAGGAAAAGGGAGCCAAGCGGCAGAGGGGAGCCAGGTCCAGGCCCGCGCCTCCCTCCCCCCAAGTCACCGAGACAGGACCCCTGTGACCAACATCCCTGTCTGTCCCGGGACTCTATGCCCCGGCAAGATTCCACCCCAACCTGGATGCGGCCCCAGGCTCCGGTTGCTGCGAGCGGGGGGCGGCTTTGTGCCCTGCTGCCCAAACTGAAACGCTGGCTGGCTGTCCCATGCTGGTCCCAGGGTTGCTCAGAGCCAGGCCCCTGGGCCCACACCGACCCGTTGGTGACCCCTGCCCAGCACTTACTTTCTGGGTTGATGGCGTGGAAACAGCAATCCCCATGCCTGAACCCGGGAGGACAGACAGGACCTTGTACTGAAAGACAAAGCGTGGCTGTCACTGCAGGTCTCTCCTGGGGGACAGGGAGGCACAGACCTCTGCGGGCCCAGGGCATCCTCCTCCACTGGGCACACAGGCACCTGGGACTTCCAAGCAACAGACGGTAAGGACCTGTGGGCACCTCCCCACTTTGTGGCCGAGACACAAGACCTGTAATGGATCTGTCCCACCCAATTCCACAGCTGGCCTAAGGAAGGTCAGAGATAAGCAGCCTCAAGGAGACTGACAGTGGGCACTGGGCCCCAGAACTCACTCTCAGGGCCTGGCACCAGGAGGGGCATCTGTCAGCACTGTCAACCGCAAGAGGCAGACTGAAAGGACCCCAGCCCTGAACTCACTCCTTCTGGTCACCTGACTGTGCACTTTTTTCCAGAGCCGGGTAGGGGAGAGAACCACAACTGCCATGGGCTAGGAGAGCCCGCTGTGCCAACGCAGACATGGCCAGGATGCTTGGAGCTGGGGGCCCTGACACCCTGGCGAGTGTGCCTGCCGCTGCCTCACTGAGCCTCCTCCGTCCACAGGCACCTGTGGCACGTCCACCTGCTCATTCCGTGTGACAGCATACGAGGGAAAATGCTAAGAAAATGCCCAGAGCGGATGCAACCATCTGAGCTCTTACCTGAAAACTGCGTCCCAAGCAGAAGCTCAGGGTCCCTGGAGCTTTCTTTGCGGGGAGGGTCCCAGATACGAGAGGTGGGGAACCCAGCAGCCAGAGCAGGGCTTGGGCTCCCGACCTCATGGGTTCCAACCCAGCCCCTCCACTTTGAGACACACGGTCCAGCCAAGTGGACCCCAGGACAGGGGCTGACCCACAGGGATGTGGGGACTAAGGTCAAGGAAACGGACCGCGGCTGGCGTGGCTGCGCCGCCCAGATGCTGACAGAGGCTGGCAGGCTTTCCACAAAGCCCGAAACAAAGTGGGCCCTAAGGGGGCTACAGCGACACTGGTGGACGTCTACACATGGCACCACCCGCCGGATGGCACCACCCCCAGATGGCACTGTCCCCTAGATGGCACCATCCCCCAGATGGCACTGCCCACCCCAGATGGCACCATCTCCCAGACAGCACTGTCCCCTCAGATGGCACCATCCCCAGATGCACTGCCCCCTCAGATGGCACCATCCCCCAGACAGCACTGTCCCCTGGGATGGCACCATTCCCCAGATAGCACTGCCCCCCCCAGATGGCACCATCCCCCCATGCTACAAGTGACACCAGTGAAACACGCCAGCCTCCTGGACCGAGGCTTTTTTGTTCCTAAAACCAAAAGGTGACAAAGGAAACGCAGGGGAAGCACCAACCTTCTGGATGTCCGTGATGTCCACCAGCTTGATGACTTTGTTCCTCTTTGAGGACCCGGATTTGGAGCTTTCGAAGCATAAGTAATTGGAAGGGGAACGGACAGAGGCACCGCCTGCTCCTGAACCAGAACGAGCTCCCACCAGGTGGGGGAGTCCAGGATGCTGCCCCTCAGGCCCCCGTGGGTGGACAGCGACACTCCCTTCCCACCAGACACAGCACCTGTGAAATGCTCCAGGCCACTACTCTGTGTGAAACCTGAGACTGCCATTCTCATGACACTGGGCCCCTGGGATTCCCAGCGAGAGACACAGGCATCCTAGAGCCCTGGCTGGGAGTGTCCAGGTCACCTTCTCTGCAAGAAGCAGAGGGGAGGTGGGGACGTGGCCACTGCTGCAGTGTGGGGGACAGGATGGCCGAGGGCCAGGCAAAGGCCAAGAATAGACCCCATCCCTGGGCTAGCTCTCCCACTCCCACAACGGGGTTTGGGGTGTAGCAAGGGTAAGTCTTGTTCTAGCAGAGAAAAGTCAGAGCCCTCTTCTGGCTGCTGTGTCTCAGACAGCAAGGACCCGGGCCTCAGCTCTAGCAGGTCCCCACAGAGTCCCCTCCTTGGGAGGCTGCCCCCCGCCTCCATGAACTCTTTGGGCCCCAGATGAGACAGCATCCCCGCCGGCCTGAAGGATGATGGCAGTGCCAGCCCAGGCCATGGGTGGCTTGGAGGCAACACCTTTCTTTGGGAGCCCAGACAGCCAGCGAGAGTGGAGCGTGGGGGAGGCGGGGCCCCCACTCAGGAAAGCCTGCATTGGGCCAGCCGCGCCCTCTCAGGGCCCAAGCAGCCTCCTGTGCCCCCTCCCCCGCAGCCACGCAGGCCCTGTGGCCGCACTCACTTCTCCGTGACGTAGAGCACCCCGTTCCTGATGTAGTCTGTGGGCATCTTCCGGTCCCTGTTGATCAGGCAGCAGCGCCAGCCGTTCTCGCACACTAACGGGAAAAGGCCCGCCCGTCACGCAACACTGGAAATACCCAGCCTCCGGCCCGACGCGGGGACCCGGGAGCCCCGACTCTCAGAGACTGACATCTGCCCCCTGCGTTCATGTAACACCCACAGTGAGAGGAAGGTGCGCCGGTGAGAGAGGTGGCCCCGGAGGGTGGAAAACAGATGTTTCCTCTTCACCAGGCACCAGCGAAGTGAAGGCGCCCAGGCCAAGCAGAGAGCAGCAGAAGTCTCTGTGCAGCCGGCAGCTCCCCAGGACGCCACCTCCACAAGGACCGGCAGGGCCACGGCTCAGCACAGGACGAAGCTCAGTTCTCCGCAGCTGCTCATCACACACCCCGGGGTGTGCGGTTTAAATTAACAGGAAAACCCTTCTGGAAGGCTGGCCTGTCCCCAGGAAGGGTGACATGTACCCGGATTCCTGAGTCACCTGTCCCCAGACACGATGGAACCAGGGCAGACCCCCTGCCAGTGCCCTGCAGGCCGATGCCTCGCCCTGGACTGTGTCCCCAGCAGGCCGCCTGCGGTCAGGGGGTGTGCCGCAGGGTGAGTCAGCTCTCCCACAGGCATGCCCTCAGCCCCTGCAGCCCCTGGAGTCCTCATGAACCCTGGCTCCTGCGCTGCCTGCCGGGACCCTGGGCAGCGGGATGTGAACGCCCTCTGGAGGGCTCCTTTGGCCTGTCCCAGGGCGACCCTCAGTGTCCCCCCACCGGCCTTCAGTCTGAGATTCACAGCCCACATACCCGCCAGTGGACGCTCATTTTCCGTCAGATTGAAGATTTCGTGGAAATTGCCCTTCTTGGTGCTGTGGAAGCGGCCGGCGTCCTCCTCCTTACCCAGGCCGGCTGGTGTGCTGCTGGGGACGTAGCTCCGTGACGAGGTCGTCTGCAGCTGCCAATGGCACACAGCATTGACGTCAGGCCCGCCGCCCACGCCCGCAGCACCCACCCTCCCAAAAGCTGGGATCCGAATTCTGGAAGATATGCCCCAGGTCCCCACCTCACCTCAGTGGGGAGAGCCCAGCAACCCTCCCTACTCATCTGAGTGGCCCCAAGGTGAGCACCTAGATGCTCATTCCACATGGCCCTGGCGGGACACTGTGCTGGACCCCTGGAGGGCCTGTGGGTCCAAGGGAGGCCCTTCTCAAGTTGCCTGGTCTAGTGCCGGAGCCTCGCCATCAGGGACGGCAGGGGTCAGGCACCCCCATGGAGGGGTCACTCCCAGCCCCACTGGCTCTCAGGAGTAATGATCAGTCCCCAGTATTGCCCTGGGCTTGGGAGGGACTAGATGGGCCTCAGAAACAGCAGTGCCTGCTAAGAGGGGAAAAAACCCCATAAAATGGAAGAAACAGCCTCTAAATGAGCTGGAGGGGAACAGAGAACTGGGGGCCTGGGGATCTCCCACCCCCAAAGCTGGGGTCCGAGCTCACTCTGCGTGAGACGGCAGCACTGGAGCACTCCTTGAGCTGGGGGTCAGTGGGGAGGCTCCTCCAGATGATGTAGGGCGTGTCGTACTTGGCGCACAGCCTCGGGCAGCGTTTAAAGATGAAATCGATGAGGAAGAACTTGATGCCAGCGTAGAGCCCTGAGAGCAGGGGACATGGCCTGTTCCCTCTGGAGCCCCGCAACTGTGCCCGTCCTCTCAAGGTGATGGTGCCAGCCCCTCCCACCTCCCAGCCTGAGCTTGGATGTGAGTCCATCTGCTCCATTAGTCCTCAGCCTGGCCCCTCCCCCAATCCTCCCTCCCCTAGGGCCGCATCCAGCTGCACAGTCCCCTCCGGAGGGCCATGCCCCGTATACCGAAGCCTGCGGCCGGCCTCACCCCTCACTCCACACACCTTCCCCCACAGAATCACACAGCAACTACGCCCCTCTCCAGCAGGCTCCTCCCCACCTTCCGCTTGGCCCTGAAGGGCACCATCACCTGCCTGACAGGTCAGGGAACGCCCCGAGCATCTCCTCAAGGCCCTCCCTGACCCCATCCTGCCCACCTACGAACTGGTGGCTCTGCCCTCCAAACAGGCCCGATCCACCAAGACCTATGGCCCCACTGCAGGTGCCCCATCTACACCTGAGATTCTCACCACAGGCCCTGCCCACTGAGGCCATACCCACTGAGGCCGCACCCACACCCACTGAGGCCACACCCTCTCCAGGCCAGACCACACCCACTCCCACCTGAGCGGGGGCTGGCCCCTCAGCTCTGCTAGGAGCCCCCCTACCATCCGATGCCCCTCACTTCTCTCTCCAACTCTGCCCAGCTCAGGGCTGTTCTCCACCCGCCTAAAACACTCAGGACTGTGCCTCCTCTGCCCCAACTCCCCAAACCTGGCACCATACCTGAGTCCCCTCCATGGCAGTCCCTCCGCAACCCCCTCTCCCACCTGACCTCCTTCACCTGGGTGCCCCCACACCTGGCCCAGCCCGGCTGAGAGGCCTCCCATGACCACCTGCCTAGACAGTTCCCAGCCACTCCTCGCAGGTTCCCTGTGCCAGCTCCATTTTCTCCCTCACACTGTCACCTGACACAATCATGGTCAGTCCCCCTACTAAGCACAACCTCAGAGGAGCAGGGCCTGGCTGCACCCCAGGTATGGGAGGCAGGGCCGGCCCACACACACCTCCTAACGCACTCCCCTGGGCAGCGAAAGCTATTGGTAGATCTGGTCTCTCCGGGCGCCCCTCCCAGTGCTGGGGGCTGTCTCACTGCCCGCAGTGCCAGCCTGCCAGACCAGACCAGCCATGGCAGGCCCTCCCTGCAGGGCCCCGGGTCAGAGCTCATGTACCATCTATGCTATAAGGTGACTGATAAGGCCATGCCTTTGTTTCATTTTGTGCCTTTGTAGGACATTTTCACATAAACTCATCAATCAAGTCAGACTTTTTGACTCCAAGTCTCAACTTGTTGATTAGTTTTCTTTTGAGCAGAGTCCTGCTCTGTCGCCCAGGCTGGAGGGCAGCAGCTCGATCTCAGCTCACTGCAACCTCCGCCTCCCGAGTTCAAGCGATTCTCCTGCTTCAGCCTCTCAAGTAGCTGGGCGCCTACGACCACATCTGCTAATTGTTGTGTTTTTGGTAGAGACAGGGTTTCACCGTGTTGGCTAGGCTGGTCTTGAACTCCTCCTGATCTCAAGTGATCCACCCGCCTCGGCCTCTGAAAGTGCTGGGATGACAGGCGTAAGCCACCATGCCCGGCCAACTTGTTAATTCTTGAAAGACGCTAGGTGTGGAGTGGGGCAGGGCCTAGGACCACTCGCTTGGACTGAGCTCCAGGCCTCCCTCTATGTGGTGCCTCAACCCACGAGGACAGCTCAGCTCAAGAGGGCACAAATCCCAGATGGGCATCCTTGCTTGGGGCAGGCAGCTTCTGCCCCTCTAAGCTCAGGTCTCTCATTAGCACTGCAAAAAGACACATGGGCGCTGATGAGTCAGGAATGTCACTTGGCCCACACCTGGCAGGGTCAGTGCTGCCCAGTGGCGGTGAAATGTCAGTGTGGTCGCAAGAACCCAAGCCACCCCGGTTGTCACAACAAAGGACGCAGAAGCTGGGCACAGTGGCTCACTCCTGTAACCCCAGCGCTTTGGGAGGCCAAGGCAGGAGGATCACAAGGTCAGGAGATTAGACCAGCCTGGCCAATATGGTGAAACCCCGTCTCTACTAAAAATACAAAAATTAGCCGGGCCTGGTGGCACGTCTGTAATCCCAGCTACTGTGGAGGCTGAGGCAGGAGAATCGCTTAAACCTGGAGGGCGGAGGTTACAGTGAGCTGAGATCTGTCATCCCCTGCACTCCAGTCTGGATGACAGAGTAAGACTTCTTTCTTGCTGGGGAGGGGAAGAAAAGAACGGCAGGACAGATCCAGGACACTAAGACCCAGGTGCATACCCTCAGGCTCCCCGTGGAGGGCGGCCTGCCCCAGAGCTGCCCAGGGACCCAAGTGCACTGCAGCTCCAGAGCCTCAGCGCCCAGACCCAGGCCCAGGGGTCCAGCGGGAGGTCATGGGGTTCCTACCCACTCAAGTGCCTAGAGTCTTGGGTGCTAGCCAGAGGGCCTCTAGGGCATTTTTGGGGTAAGGGTCTGAACAAATCTGGCTCTGCTTCCTCCTGGTGCTGGCACCTGATGGCACAGTGAGCTCTGTTGGAGCGCCCAGCCCCGCTGAGTCCCGAGAGGCCCGTCCTCCTGCTAGCAGTTATGCTGGCTCAGGGCTAGGGTCAGGCTGTATTACAGCAAAGGCATTCAGGAAAAGTGGCAGGGGCATGTGCTCTTCCACACAGGCACAGCCCCACACTGCTCCTCTAAGTGGCATGCCAACCCCAGACTGCTGAGGGGCCGGGTCTGACCTCCCGACTCCAGCACGGAGCTCTCCCCACCCCTGGCTTTGCGGCTCCTGCGACGATATGCGCTGTCCTGCTTGGCCTCAGGCAAGCCCCACCTGCCCCTCGAGGACAGGACCCTGGTGGCCTCGCTCCCACATGCCACTGTGTAGCCCACATCAGGCACTGGATCATTGTTAATGAGGAAAAAAGAAAAAGAGAAGGGAGGGAAGAGGGAAAGGAAGGGCAGACAGCACGAGGGGTGGGACGGGATGAGCACCTCCTGGGGTGAGAAGGGGCCGCCACACCCCACCCACCTCCAGCTCTGCAGATGAGTGATTTAGCAGATGTGACCCTTGGCTTCACGCGCTATCACCAAACTCATGAGTTACAACCAACCGCCCTGCACCTCAAACCAGGCACTCAGGCTCCCTGCAACTGTCACCCCTGAGCCCACAGATGCCCCCAGAGGCGTGTCCTGCCCAGGGCAGCTCCCTGACATCCCCAGGGCCTGCTAGCCCGTCTTGGGTCCTGCAGCTCCTCCCACATGGCAGAGACTCGAGGCCCTTGGAAGCGGAGGGCAAGCTTGATTTAAGAAACTATCACCAGTCCCGGGCTTCACTTCCCCAAACTGAAACGTTTTGACAAGAACCAGAGGAAACATCTCCAGCTCTTGCAGACACCTAGCAGACACTGGTGGCATGCAGGCGCCTGTGTCCCCACTCCTGATGCCACGGGCTGCAGGGGCATCTCCTTACCCACGGCGAGTCCCACCAGGCGGTAGGGGAAGAAGCAGGAGGCCAGGAAGGCGGCCCAGAGTGCCACGTACAGCTTCTGTGTGATCTCCGGCTGGACCCACATGAACAAGCTGGAAGGAGACGGGAGGCTCAGGCCGGGCGGGCACCGCCGGGCCGGGGTTGGGGGCGAGGGACTTACTTCTTGATCTTTTCCAGGATGTCGGCCATCTTGCCGAAAAGGTTCTGCGTGAAGGAGAAACAGCGATTACAGCAGAACCTGGCCTGGGCTGTCGGTCACACTGGGACGCCAGGAGGGCCCCCAGGTCAGGCAGCCCTGAGGTCACCCAAAGCCCGGTGTCCTGCCCAGCTGCTCCTAGGCCGGGGGAGGCGCAGCTCTGGTCTAGGGCAGAGGCGACCGTGCTCACAGGACACAGGCCCGAGTCCATCCAGGGGCTCCGCCCTGGGCCAGGCCCTGGCCCACCATCAGCAGAGGCTGAATCAGGAGGCCCCTTCCCCACCCACCGGAGTTGCTGTAATGACCATATAAGGGCAGGGTGACTACAGGTCAGCTGACAGTGGGTAACCTGGGCCTTCAGTGTCAGGGTTCAGCCCTCCCTGGGCACCAGCTGAGGCCAGCATAGACACACCCCTGGCCAGTGCCCGTGGCCAGTGTAGACATGCCCCTGGCTGGTGGTGCCCGTGGCAGTACCTGGGCTTTCTGGGCGACGTCCAGCACCAGCTGGAACTTCTCAGACACAGTCAGGTCTTCCTATGGAGGTTCCTTCAGTCAAAGGGAAAAGAGAATTTTCCACTGAAATTTAACAGTTCAGAGAAATGAATAACAACACAGTGTGGCGCCCTCCCAGCCCCAGGGACTGTGCTGTCCCCACACAGCTCAGGGGGATGGTGCGTCCCTTGGGGACCTGATACCAGGAGGACACCCCTCTGGGCTGAGGGTGAAATCTCATCCTGTTCCCCTCACTCCAGGCACCCAACAGGAGCTGGGCAGAGCTGCCCCTGCAGTGGCTGAGCAGAGGCTCCGACTCACAGAGTTCACCTTCACAGCTGCCCTCCCTCACAGGCAAGGAAACTGAGGCCCAGCCAATGGGAGCCCTGGTCTTGCTTGTCTCCCATCTCCCATGTATTAAGAGCCTCCCGAGGTTTCCCCGGTCCCAGCACTGGTCAGACAATGGCCTGCCTCTTCCAGGCGCTTCCCTTGACCCCTCATGCTCCACACAAGAAATAGGCACTGAGATATCCGACTAAGGGAGGCATCGAGGCCTCCCTTCTGCCCACATCGGCTGGTCCTGCCCCGTGGGCCACGGTCTCCCTCTAGAGCAAACTTCTGTAAATCGCCAGGTAGTGAATACCTTTGGCTTCCAGAGCCATGTGGTCTGTCAGCTACTCAACGGTAATGCAAAAGCAGACGCAGCAATGTGTAAATGAATGGGTGTGTCTATGTGCCAATAAAACTTTATTTACAAAGTCAGACAGTGGGCCAGAGGTGGGTTTTTTTTTGTTGTTGTTGTTTTGTTTTTTGAGACAAGAGTCTTGCTCTGTCGCCTAGGCTGGAGTGCAGGAGCGGGATCTCGGCTCGCTGCAGCCTCCAAGAGGTGGACTCTTGAGTCTCAGATGCGAACAGGTCCGCTTGTCCAGCTTACGGCTCACCACCCTACCTGGGGAGGATGTGGGGGCCACAGCGGCCCCTTGATGTCCCCTACCCTGCCACATCACATCCTTGCTGGGAAGCCTCAGCTAGGACAGGCCAGGGCCAGGTAATCTGCTTCTTGCACAGCTAAACCTGGCCTAGCAAGGGGGGCCGGGCTGTAGCCTCCCTGGGCTCGGGGCTAGGGAGGGGCTGGCCTCCTCCTCTTCTCTATGGGCCAGGGCAGGGCTCCCAGGAAGATCACACGGCCCCCTCCAGAGGCTTCCTGGAGCGGCGCCCACAGGCTGTGAGGCCTGACGTGATGGAGACAGTCGGAGACCCAGCACCCTCCAGCGACCTACCACGGGCTCAGACACTTCCGGCACGATGCTCCACTGTATCCGCCAGCCCCTGGCGAATAGAAAACACACATACCTTCAAAACAGCGCCACCTGAGGCAGGGAATGGTATCAAATCACCAGCCCTGCGTGCCCAGCTGGGCTTGGAGGGAGCCCTTTGCCCTTCTACGCTGCCCGATGGGGAGAAAAAGGTCCCCTGAAGCCCCCTGCTGTGAGAGCAGACAACTCCTGTCACCCCCAGCAGCCCCTTCCCTGGGGCGCTTTGGGCCACAGGGGACACAGTGAAAAGTGGCCAGAGGTGTGGGGAGGGCAGCCCTTCGGCATCAGCCAGCCGGGGTGGCATCAGCAAGTGTCCGAGCTCATCCTGCCCAGCTCTGGGTACCAACGACCCCTTCCAGAGTATTTAAGTGATTTCTACAAAAGCATTTTCAAATGACCCAACCGGGGCAGGCACAGAGAACCATCTAGAAACACGGTGCATAGAAGCACAAACTTCTATGAATGGCCAGGTCCAAGTAGAGAATCCCAGCTCCCCCCTCAGCCCCCGTGCAAGGCTGAGCTTCACTCCTGGGGGTAACCGCAGGCTAAGACAGGCCCAGCTGTGCCAGGACTGGGGTCTGCCCCAGGGTGTGGGCTTCCAGAACCTTCTCCCCCCAGCCTCCACAGGCAGAGGGTGCTCAGAGGGGGTACAAGGAGTGACACAAGAGCCTGACTCAGGCCAGGGTTGACATGTCGGTCACACAGGCATGCTGTCTGCAGGAGACTGAAACTCGTTCCCAGTCCAGCCTTCCAGGGGGTTGAGCTCTGCTGGCTTCACCCCCCGACCCCCGCCACTGAGGCTGGGGAAAAGTCCCTGTGGCGTTCGGGGAGGTGCTGAACGCCCGGCACTGGCTCTGCTGGCTTCACCCCCCGACCCCCGCCACTGAGGCTGGGGAGAAGTCCCTGTGGCATTCAGGGAGGTGCTGAACACCCGGCACTGGCTCTGCTGGCCGCCCAGGGAAGGAGCTGCTGGGGGATCTGGGAATGTCCCACTACCATCTCCAGCAAACCAGGGAGGGGGCAGCCGCCCTGTCTGCGGGTCTCTGCAGGCTGTCAGGGGACCGTCCCCGAAACGTCAGTGCGTGACATACCCAGCTGCAGTTACAGTTGTGTGAGACATGGGGAGACAGCACAGCCACACACACGGGGAGAGCGTGGCCAGAGCAGACCGGCTCACCTACCTGGCGATGAGGTAATTGAGGGACAGCCTCAGAATTGCTAGAAATAAGAACAATGGGATGGCCCAGCCATGCCACACGGCGTTCATGTACACCTGCGGGTGAGAGACGGGCGTCAGGCCCCCGGCAGTGCGGTTCATGACGAGGCACATCCCTCCCACCTCCCCCAACCAGGTGGCACCAGCGGGGAGACCAGGCCAACCCCGGCTCTCCAGACACTCAGAGGGCCGGTCTGATGGGGAAAGCGGAGGAAGGGCTGCTTCCCTGTTTACGAGCCGCGGGTGGAAGCGAGGAGCCGCTCAGGGAGGGGGGAGGATAGAGAAGCATGTCCTGGGGTCAGAAGGCGGCAGCCGGTTCCACACGGGGGTCCCGCCCGCCCCGGGTATGGCTCCCAGGCACCAGACTTGGGGCATCACCAGGACTCAGCCTGGCAGGGTGAGGTGTCCAAGCACTGGCTAGGGACGAGCCAGGTCCATGCCTGGGGCCACCTTCATGCCAGACACCATCTGTGCCCAGCGCGGAGCCCGGGACACGGAGCAGACGCGCAGACCAGGCAGGGCTGGAGGTGGGCCCTGGGGGCGGGGCCGGTCTGGGGCTCATCTCTCAGTGAAAGAGCCTCGGCACAGGGACCTCTGGGGCCCAGGCAGCAACGGCCTCCCATCACAAAGCATCTGCGAGGGCGGCGGGAGAAGAGGCCTTCCGGGGCCAGGGTGCAGCTGGTGCGCCAGCACCCACCCTTCATCTGTGAGTGTACAAAGTGCCCATGGCCCAGGTGGGCACTAAGTGCCTGGGGCAGGCACAGGGAGAGCCTGACCCAGGCTGAGGCCATGTGGGGACCTCTCCCAAAGGGCCCACTTGGCAAGACAGAGCTGCCTTTGGGAGCCCTGGACGGTGCCAGGCTGGAGCCCTCTGGAGGACCCAGCAACCGAGTGGGCAGTCTGTATCTTCCTCATGCTGGAGGCATAGCCTCCACCCCAGGTCAGGGGCTCCCCTGGAGGACCAAGTCCTGAGACACAGGTGGTGTGTCTCCTGTCCCACAGGGCAGTTCCGGGCAGGGCGGCTGGCTCCCTTTCCCCAAGGCCCAAGCAATGCTGGCCCTGACGTCTTCCAACACCTCCGGACTCATGGCGCACAGAGGCCGGGCTGGGTCCCCTCGTGCTGCCCTGCCCTTATCAAGTGCCCCGGGCCCAGCACCAAGTGCTCTGTGGCCCTCAGCAGCGTGGCCACCACACCACAAGGTGAGTGCCAAGAGGCCTTTCCCGAGGGGACTCTGGGGTGGGGGCCCTGCAGGCTAGTCCCGGGCCATGCCCGACATCTTTGCTCCTTGAAGCTACCCCCAGCTGGGCATTGGCATCACTGAACCCATTTTACAGAAGGAGAAATGAGCATGTCCCTGGGGCCCGAGGAAGCACCAGGAGGCTATCTCCCATCCCAGGATGGTGCCTGACCACAAGGTAAAGGCTGGCAGCACGTCTCTGCCCACCCCGCCCTGCCCCTGGGGGACCCACTCACGGTGAAGGCAATGGCAGACGTGTAGTAGACAGAGTACCACTCGGATAAGGCGGAGAGGTTCTTCACAAAGTTAGTGATGGGCTTGGCCCCGCGCTCTGGGGACAGAGCAGACAGCAGTGGTCAGCACGAGAGCAGGAGCCTCTAACAACATCTCCCCGGAGAGTCCCCACTGCCAGGGGCCCACCCAAACCGAGCAGCGAGGGTGCCAGGCAGAGCTCTGGTACTCACTGAGCCGCCTCATGTTTTCAGTTAACCTAGGAGAAAAGGGAGAGATGGGAGCCCAGGGTTAGCGTGCCCACCGGATCTGCGGTCCCCACTGCCCAGTTCTGCTGGCTCTGCAGGGGGCAGGGAGGATGTCTCAAGAGCCTGGGACCCCCTGAGCACACAGAACGGCCACGCACAGCGGCTCAGCACAGCAGGGTGTGCCAGGATGGCCCTCAGTGCCACGCCCCAAGCTGGCACTGGAAGGCGGGGGCAACTCACCAATGAAATTGTCCCCTCATCTCCCACCGGAGTCCCCAGAACAGAAGACCTCAAGGGCAGGGCCTTTGCTAGACTGGCCCCCCTGGGATCCCCAGGGCCTATGACAGCACCTGGCAGGGGAGCCAAGGTTTACTGATCAGGCTCATGAGCCAAGGAAGGCCCCAGGCAGTGGGCAGAGCCCCCCAATCCCATCCCCACACAACTGTCACAAGCCACAGCTGAGAGCAGAGTGGACTCACACAGCTCTGCTGCCCCTAAGTGGGCCTCGTGGGCCCCTGCCAGGCATGGCCCCCAGAAGGCTGGGCACAACCGACAGCTGTGCCAGGAGCTCTCACAGACAGCTTTGGCCTATGGTGACAAAGCCTGGCCCACCCACTGAAGCTTCAGCCAGGTACCGGGGCCCCAAAGGCAGGCTCGGCGACCCCCACCTGCGGGAGCTGAGGGGCTCCTCCGTCTCCACGGTGTTCTCCTCGGGCTGGAACCGGAAGTCCTCCACGTACTCCCCAAACCTCTCGTAGAACCACTTCTGCAGGCGTGAGGACAGACCCTGGCTCCGGCGCTCTGCAGGGGGCAGCGGCCCGGTGAGGCACAGGGAACACGGGGGGTGGGGCAGGGAAATGAAGGATCCTTGTACAAGGGACTGTGAAGGCTCGGTCCTCTGAAGACACGAAGTACAAACCAGTCAGCACAGAGCAGAGCTGCTCTGGCCATGAAGACCTCATGGGGGGGTGGGGTCTCCGTGCTTTTCACGCCCTGTCCCCAGCTCTCTGCCCGCCCTAGGCTCTCATCAGTGGGCATCCGGTCGTCCAGGCTGCAGCTCAGCAGTCTGCATCAAACCCCCTTTCCACCTCCGGGCTGTCAGGAAGCGGCTGGAGGGGTCACTGCCCTGGCCCTGTGTATCCTGAGCATCCGTCAATGGGCAGTGCGGTGGGAGGCTGAGTCCTGGGCTGGGGCGCCTGGCAAGCACAGCCAACCCAGGGCGAGCGCACCGGGATGTCGTGCTGATGACCGGCACTGTTCACCAAAAGCTAAGACCTCTAGAAAGCGACCTCCATCATGGAAAACCAGCGGAATGGGGGTTCAGGGAAGCAGGCCGGTCCCTCCCTTCAGAAGGCCAAGGAGGAGCTGCCCGCAGCGGGTGCTGCCCTGCCACAATTTGGGCCCTGGGACCAGAGGGCTGGCAGTCACCATACCCAGGGGGCTGCAGTCACCATACCCAGGGGGCTGCAGTCACCATACCCAGGGGGCTGCAGTCTCAGGGCAGTGGCTCAAAAGCCACAGGTCGAGGGGGCTGAGGTCTGTGTACCCTGAGGCCACCTGGGTAGGGAGGGTGGGGCCAGGGCAGCTCCTGGGGCTTCTTCCTGCCCCAACGGCAGCCTGGAAGAGTTTTTCAGGGGAGGGTCCGGGTGGGGTTGGCAAACTCATCCCAGCCATGAGCGAACCGGCCGGCTCTGTTGCCATGGACTTTATTTATGGACTGAAATTTCAGGTTCATACAATGTTCTCCAGTCATGAAATGTAACCGTTTAAACCTGTGAGGCCAGGCAGGGGCTGGAATTTGCCGACCCGCAGGTGCAGGGAACTGTGCCAGCTGCCTGCAGGGCGAGGGCAGGATAAAGAACAGGTGCTCAGGGATGGAGGACGAGGAGAGGAAACAGGGCACGCAGTCTCCCACTCCACACTCGCAAGCCACCGCGGCCCCAATGCCCACTTGGTCCCCTTCGGGAAGGCCGCCAGGGCAGTGGCAGTGACCAGGGTGGCTCTCACACTGCGGTTCCACGGGGCAAGGCTCAGTGAACGTGTGTATTCCCTGAAGAACACGCCGTCACGATTTGGTTAAGTGACTGGAAACCTGCAGTGATGACGATGACTCACCACTCGCATGAGAGACACTAACCCAGTTCCGACGGGAGGAGACTCCCGGATGCCAGCGGGTGCCCGGGCACAGAACCAGCACCTGCCGCCCGCCCGCCAGGGCGTACCTGCTCCATTGTTGGCCTGGGCCTGCCCTTTCGGGGGCTGCTGAGCCGTCTGCTCTTCGGTTCTTAGAAAGCAGGGGGAGAAGAGACAAGAGGTCTGTTAGCTCAAAACTCTGCACGGTCAGGCTGCGCGAACCTCCAGGGCCCTCGTGACTGCACGCCGCCCAGCAGCACTCAGGGACAGCGGGGCTGTCTCCGGAGTCCCACCGCTCAAACGCGGCTTCCGAGCACAGCCAGGCAGCGCAGAGTCGCCTTCCTAACGGGCACACGTTTGCTGCTAAACGACCACACAGTGGCTCTTAGCACTTCTCTTTTCTATCCACTTTAGCTCAGTTGCTTCTTCAACAAGCTCAGAACACCCTCATGCCACCAACACGTCTGCTAATGAGAAGATACTGATCAACACACATGTATGTATTAGGCACCGCGCCAGGCCACAGGCTGGGTGCTGCCTGCCAGCGGCCCGTGCCCAGTTCCTAGCTCAGCCTACTCCAAGACCTGGGCCTGCTGGGCTGGGCAGGGGCACTAGACGGCTACCAGGGTCTGCTTCTGTCCCATACCCAGCCCCTCCAGCCAAGGCCCGTGAGCAGGTGCAGCACAGACCCAGGCCAAGTGCTGTGTGGCTGCCCCTGACCTTCCTAACTCAGGCTCTTGGTGGGGGGAGAGAGAGGGAGGAAGCTGGGGGAGGAGTGAACCCTGAGAAGAGAACAGAGGACGGAGCACAGGGTGGGGCCAGGTAAGCAGACGAGAGGTTTTCAGGGGGCTTTGGATCCACAATGGAGAGAACCTCTGCCCACTAACAAGTAGCCTTAAACCAAGGTGACAGAATTTTCTTAAAAACCAAAATAGAGGTTTGCATAAACAGAACTGCTGTGCCTTAATCCTGCAGCCTCAGAGCCTGGGGTGTGTGTGCATGTGTGCGGTGTGTGTACACGTGTCTGCGTGTTTGCGTGTGCTCTCACACACCTACCCACCCTGGACAGACCACAGCCACCCAGACCCACCCCAGATCTGCAGCAGGATGACAAGGAAAGAGGAGGTCACTCTGCCTGGGACTGCTCTTCCTTCACCCCTTCTCCACCAGGCTTCCAGAAGGTTCCTAAATGCCGCCCCCATGTAAAGCAGGGAAGGCCCTTCATGCTTCCGGGAGCTTCAGCTTCCACTTCCTGGGTCACAGCCTGCATGTTCCTTTACTGTCCCCTCCCCAGCTATTCCCAAGGCCAAGACTGGGCGAGACGGGGCTCCCTGCGTCCTCACAGCTGACCCAGGCTGGGCACAGCTGCCACCAAGGGGCTTTGGTAAAAGATGAGGACCAGACCCTGGAGTGGGGCTGGTGGGGGCGAGAGGACAGGAAGCAGAAGACAGGGAACAGGGCCAAGGGGACAGCCTCAGGCCACCTTAGCCAGTGGGGGAGAAGCAGCATTCCATGGTGGGGATGGCGCTGAGGTCATATGCCTGGGGACCACACCTGTCCCTGGGTCAGGTCTCTGTCGCCGCACCTCTACATAATTAAATGTCATTTGAGCTTTGAGCTTCTGTGGATTTTCACAGAAAGTTCAGCATCAGGTACATGGGCGCCTACCAGGGCCCATGCACCCACTTCTGGTCTGGGAGGTTCTACCAGGGCGGAATAGGAAAGTGAGGCCACCCCCTCCCCCACACGAGCTGGATCCCCCCACATGACCCCCTCCAGGGCATTCCGCAAGGTCATGCTGACCTGCAGGAGATGGGCAGGGAAGAAGTGGGAGCCAGCCCAGCGGACGCCCCGGCTTCCCACACACTAAACCTGAGGGTGCTGAAGGGACCCACTTCCTCGGGGTCAGCTAAGCCGGGACACTTGGGGTCCTAACAGTGGCCCCTGGAGCCCTCGGGGCAGGCAGTCAGTGCTCAGCCAGGGTGAAGGTCATGGGGGCCGTGGACAAAGTTGTGGTCAGTGGTGGTGGGGGCTGGAGGTGGGGGCTGTGGGGGAGGCTGAGGGAGGAGACACAGGGGGAGTCTGAGTGGGAAGGTAAGGGGAGGCTGATGGAAGGCTGGAGGGAGGCTGGGAGTGGAGGCTGAGGGAGGAGACGCAGGGGGAGTCTGAGTGGGAAGGTAAGGGGAGGCTGATTGGAAGGCTGGGAGTGGAGGCTGGGTAGAACCTGACGGGGGAGGCTGGAGGAGTGGAGTCTGAGGAGGGAGGCTGAAGAGCTAGATGTTGGTGGGGAGGCTGGGTGGAAACAGGGGGGAGGCTGAGGGAGAGGCCGAGGCAGGAGGCTGCTGGAATGAAGGCTGAGTGGAAGGCCTGGGAGCCAGAGGTGAGTGGCCTGAGCTCCCTGGCCTTATCCACCAGGAACCAGTTTAAACTTGTGCGGAAGGACACGGAGCCTCGTGGTGTTAGCGCAACAGGAGGGCACTGGCTTTGTAACTTGTGCTGGGGCCCTGGGTGCGCTGCTTCCTGCTGGCAGCACCGTGAGGCAGAGGGCAGGCTGAGGAAGGAGGATGTGAGTACTCAGGGGCCCCGCATGGGACCCACCACCAAGGGCAAAGACGTCAGCTGTGAATGGGCCCTCTAGCAGGGGCGGCACTGGCACTCTAGGACGTGATCCTGCTAGGATGGGGGAGAGTGGGTCATCTGTGAGGGCACCCTGAGGGGCTGCTGTGTGGCTGGGGCAGACAGGGAGCATGGGAGCACACACAGGCAGCGCTGGGAGGGCAGGTCCTGGGAAGATCCTAAGAGGCTGGGCCAGCCCCCAGGGTGGGGCGCTGGGGCAGGATGCACAGAATGGGTCACCTCCAGGCCAGGAGGTGTCTCTGGGGCTCGGCAGACCCCATGCCATGCCTCTCTTCAGTCGGCCTGGCCCCAGGCCTGGGGCTGGCAGGAGCACCTGCCCCAACGTCCCCCTTTCCCAGACCACTGGAGCATAGGCAGGACCTATCCCTGGGCAGTCAGAGCCGGGCCCACCCTCACCCCCAGGCCTCTCAAGGGCTAAGGGTGATGTTGCTGGGATGCTCTGGGTATAGCAGAGGCTGGAGGGGAGGTGGAGGGTTGAGGAGGGGGCGGTACCTGGCCTTCAGCACCTTCTGCTCCAGCTCCATCCGCCGCTGCCGCTCCCGGTCCAGCTCCTGCCGCAGCATCTCTGCATTGGTTTCTTCTCGAAGCTTCCGGAGCTCCTCCTCTGTGGGCAAGAGAATGGCCAGGTGACCATCGCTTATGTCCACGCAGGCCCTCTGACTCTGGGACGCTGGGGCAGGAGTGCCTGACTCAGCAGTGGGGTCTCTGCTCTGTGAGCGGACCTGAGCGCCTGATCTTCCTCCAGGGTGCGGGGCGCTCACACGGCAGGCGTGCACTGGTCCCACCCAGCCCTTCCTCCTAGGCAGGAACTATTAACGGGGCTCCTCTTACATGACTGAGGCAAGAGCTGGGTGAAGCAAGGGTGGGAATTTCCTCACTGTCCTTCATAACGTTGAACACAGAACACAAAAGCCATTTCACCAAGTGCCGCCATGCCAAGGATACCTGTGGAGAGGATGCTGACTGCACCCAACCCACCCACCTCATCCAGCCTCCATGAGCTGGACGAGGTTCTGGGACACATCAGCGGCACAGCAAAGGCCCTGGGCCAGCGGGGACAGCCCACAGCTTGAGCTGGCCAAGGAGCCTGAGAAAAGCACAGGGCAGGCCGGACACAGGACTGCTGCAGGTAAGCCTCAGAAAATTGAGGACCAAGTCAGACCCGGAGGGAACACAGCGCGTTCCTGCAGAGCCAGGGAAAGAGCATCCAGGCAGAGGGAGGAGGCAGGATCAGAGACCAGAGGTCGGAGAGACTGGAAGACCGAAGATGGAAGGGGCCAGGAACCAGGGAGTGCAGGCGGCCTCTGGAAGTCAAGACACTTCTGCCACCTGAAGAGACAGGTGAGACAGGGGACTCTGCCTCTCTTCCGCTTCCTCTGTCCCATCCCTGCCTCCTCCTAAAACCAAGGGTGCTGGGTCACCTGAGGGCAAGTCTGAAGCCCTTGCTCTTCCCCCACTGTCCTGATCCATGGGACCCAGTTCTCAGCCTGCTGCCCCTCCCTTGGTGTGCCTGGCAGACAGAAGGGGCTGAATCGAGGGTCGCTGGATAAACAAAGGAGGGAACCAAGCACCCCGCCTGCGGTCTTTCTCCCCAAAGGGGAGCGTCCACCTGGATCAGTTCCGAATTCAGAGCCAGCTGGGGAAGGTTCAGAGACAGCCATGGGGCGGCTTCTCCTCACGCCTCTGTCTTCATGTTGTGGCAGTGACTTTATCTCACGGGAACACAGAGGTAAGATGTGTCACACTGGGCAGCCTCGTTCCCGGCTGGGCTCTTGGGTGGAGCAGGCCAAGGCCAGAGGGCTCTGGTACTTTCCCGGGTTCACTCCTGGCACCCACACACCGCCTCCTCTGGTCTTGGCCTTTGCCCACATGCCTCTCCATCCATAGGTCAGAGAGGCACTCAGGGCCCTCCCTGCGTGGGTAACAGGAAACCACATTTTCCTAAATGGGGCTCTCCTCACACCCCTTCCTGGAGTCACTAAACCATGACAGGGTGGCAGTCACGGGCCAGGTTCCAGCATGCAGCAGAGCAGTGGCCAAAGCCTGGCCCAAGGTGGCCAGTCCCAGCCTGCGGATGGATGCCACGGAGGCGGACACAGAGCCTTCCTGGAGCCCGGCGTGGCATGTCGTGCCTGCCGTGTCACAAGCCTGGGTTCAGAGGTCACGGGGCCTCAGGGAGCCACCCCTCTTTCCACCCTGGACCTCCTGGGGTCGGGCTCTCTGCAGAGCTCAGACAAATGTGAACAGCAGAGCCCTGCCATCCTCGCTGAGCAGAGCCCGGTGACACCTGGCTCCCTAGTGGGCCGGCGGCACGGTCCCCTCAGCCTTGCAGACGGGGCTCCTCAGACAGTGGGGCGAGTCCGCCCGTCCCAGCTTCCGGCAGAGCCAAGAGGCTTCCCACCTGTGCCCAGTGTCACTCGTGCCGGTACGAGGACAACTCGGTAAACAAAGCGGCTGCAGCGGTGGAGCCTTTACCTCTTCTGAGCTCTTCCTACCTCTGAGCAAATGACTCCCTGCAAGGCCAAGCTGCTGCCTCTCCCGAGACGGGAATGATGACCGCTCGCCCCACGACGCCACCTTAGAGCCTGCCTCCTGCCCAGCGGTGACACATTCAGGTCACCTGCAGTGTGCCGAGCACAGCTGTACCTTTCCACAGGACAAAGGGGGCGCAAATCCCTCACCATCAATTTTTCTTTCTCTTCCCCGAGTAGGAAAAGAAACAGGAGGGCCGATTTCCTGCCCAGAGGAAAGTACTGAGCTGGGCGTTCACACAGCAGACTCCTCTCATACATGCCCCGAAAATCTGCGGCGGCTGCCAAGGTTCTGGGTCCCTTGGCCACCGGCGTGGGCCTCATCGTGTCCCAAGCTACCCACAGACACCGAGGACCCCGGGCCACCCGCATCCACAGGCCTCCCTGCCCCACAGATTAGGGTCTGAGATGCCCTGCAGGGTGGGGTGGGGGCGAGGCCACATGGGGGCAGGCCACAGAGCCCCTTGGTGACCTCTGCACTTGTTTCCCGTGGCTGTGGTGGAAAACCACCACCACGGCAGCTTAAAACAACACAAACGCGTACTCTTACAGTGCTGGTGTCAGAAGTCCAACCTGGGTCTCCCTGGGTCTCCAGCTCCCCAGAGACCCATTTCCTGCCTTTCCAGCTCCCCAAGACCTCTGCACTCCTTGGCTAATGGCCCCTAGGGAGCAATAACATCACTGTGACCTCTGACCCCACCCTCACATGGCCACCTCCTTCTCGGGACCCTTGTGACTGTGTGATCCCGGATAATACAGGACCAAGTCCACCTCAGGGCTGGGACTCATCGTCATTGACAAAGGTCCCTTCTGCCGCGGTAGGCCACATGTGCAGGCTTGGGGAACAGGGACACTCTGTGGGGCCAGGACTGTGCCAACAACGCTCTCCTTCGAGACAATCGTATCAGGTGAAAGAGCCCAGTGCCCCTCTTCCTTCCACTTGGCATGGACTTTCCTGCCCCTGGCAGTCCTGGGTCACACCGCCACCGGAAGCCCTCCTCTGGTGGGTCCACTAGCCCTCCAGGAGTGAAGGGTCCCCAGCGGCCCCTAGCTCTTTCTCCTCCCCACCTCCTCGAGGCAGGAATGACACTGGGCACAGGTGGGAAGCCTCTTGGCTTTGCCGGAAGCTGGGACAGGCTGACTTGCCATGCTCTCCGAGGAGAGCAAGGCTGAGGGGACTGTGCCTCCTCGAGGAGGTGGGGAGGAGAGAGACAACTCCAGCTGTGCCCCCAAAGGCACCTGAAGCAGGATTCCCAAGTGCCACCACCATGGCAGCCCCATCAGAAAAGTGCACAGTGAGTCTCTCTAAAGCCCCACAGAGAACAACACTGACAGAGGGGATATTCCAGGGTCATCCATGCGCCCCATGAACGCGTGACCTGCTACAGCACATCTTCAGAGCAGCACGGGCACCTGCTCTCCCGAGAGCCCCTGCACCTGTCTCAGGCACAGACATGTGCAAGACGTGTGTGAGCACAGAGTCCAGGCAGCAGCCACATGCACCGCACGGGGATGGGAGGCTTCCCTGGGTGTGCATGATACCATACCTGCTGGGGACCGAGCCACAGGTGGAGACCCAGGGGTAGGAGCCGTGGCCCAGGGCATCAGGCCATAAAGTCTCCCTACAGGGGCAGAGGAGCCACCACACCAGGGGACACTTTGTGTGCCCAGAGGGACCCTCAGACCCTCAGGCGTCTTGCAGCCGGGGGTCAAGCTCTAGCGTGAGGTTAGGGATGTTCAGAAGTAAGAGCGACTCTGGTCCTGTGGGCAGCGGGCAGCCTCACCCATATCCAGACGGCACCGTCCCCTGCTCTCCAAGGAGCGAAGCAGCATCAGCCACAGACAGGAGCCCCCGAGACAGGACAAGAGCCTGGTGTAGTGACATACTGCACACAGAAATCTCCCACAGAGGCTAAAGGAAGTCCCAGCACAGCCAGGCTGGCTGCGCACCACCCGCTCCAGCCTTCAGGCCTCCCCAGAGCCTGGAAGCAGAAGGGCAGGGACGGCCACCTGACTGGGCACTCCGGGGCAGCCCCCAGAACGTTCTCTGATGAGTCAATGGCCACCCTGACTCAAGGGGAGGCAAAGGAGATGTGTGCGCTCAGACCCACCCGGCCCAGGCAGCAAGGCTAGGCCCGGCCCTCCACCAAGCCTCGACGCCCAGCCACGTGGAAGTTGCTGGGGGGAAGGAAGGCAGCTCTGCGGCTATTTTTAAACCCGTAAAAGTAGATCTCTCGGCAGGAGTACTCTTGGCACACGACTGACTCCACAGGCCCAGCCTCGCCCAAAAATAAAGATCAAGTGATAATCTTTAAATAAAATTCCTTCCCACCAGGCCAGGGGCGCGAACTCAGAATCCACCCAGAAAGCTGCTCCTGGCCAGGCGGAGGCCGGCACACCCGGAGGCCCCACCTGGCCACCTCTAACTTCAGACTCTCACCTGAACTCTCCCAGCCCAATTCAGGCCTCCTTCCATCACCAGAGGAACTTTCTAGAAGACAGGCACGCCCTCCACTGAATCACCCGGCTATAAGTTACACCGCAGAGCCCAGCCTACGGCTTCACCTTCAGCCACCAGCACAGAGGCGGCCCCTTCAACCCCTTCCTCCTGTGTCCCTCCCTGCTCGGGGAAAACAGATAATTCCAAGACACGCGTGCTTTTATTCTGATGTTTGCCTGCCTTTTCTCCCTTACGTTTATTTCCTGCTGTGCCGTCTCCCGCCTGTGCACAGAGGGAACGTTTACTGAACGATGCCACGGTCAACACTGTCTTGGCTGGTAACCGGGAAGCAGCGACCTTCCAGGCAACGTCAGTCCCTAACGCCATCGCAGGCTGCCGTGTACAGCGCTGGCTGACCACGTTTAGGTACACTTCAGGACACCAGCGCAGGATCTAAGGTACACAAATAATGTAGCCAACATTTTACCATGTAAAAGAGAAGAACTAGGATCCCAGCCAGGTTTTCACCCAGAGCAGCCGGTTTTCAGGAACCGATGCCTGCCTCTCCCCGTGAGATGCACGCGGCATCTGACAGCCTTTGGGCTGGACTCTGGGCTCCGGCCCAGCATGGAGCAGGAGACTCATGTGCTCGACAGCACGTGCTGTCCCCGCCCTGGCAACCTCCCTTTCCAACCAAGCGCTCGGCATCCAGCAGCCAAACCCTCCGGGCCCCCGGGCCCTTCCCACAGCAACAGGCTCTCTGCCAAGCACCTGCTCCCTGCTGAGTGTGGGCTGGGGGCAATCAGGGACACTCCCAACCTCCACTTCCCAGCTGGTAGCACTAGGCCCCAAGGCACTAGGAAGCAAAGTGGCACAGACAAAACCGTGCCTGGGACCAAACACCAGACAGAATGAGAGCAAGAAGGTGCATCTGGAGCTCTGGAGGTGGCCAGTGGGGCCTTAAGGATGGGCAAAACAACATGCCTAGTGGAGAAAACAGCCTATAGTCCATTTGTCTACCCATCCATCCGTCTGTCTGTCCATTCGTCCACCCATCCATCCATTCATCCATTATTTACCCACCCATCTACCTAATCTACCCATTCGTTTGCCTTCTCATTGATCCATCCATCTATCCAATCACCCACCATCTGCCCCACCCATCCATCCACCCACCCATCCATCTACCATCCCTTCTCCCATTCAACCATCTATCTATCCATTCACCCATCCATCCATCCATCCACCATCCCTTCTCCCATTCACCCATCTATCTATCCATTCATCCACCCACCCATCCATCCACCATCCCTTCTCCCATCCACCCATCCATCCATCCATCCACTCACCCATCCATCTTCCACTCGTCTGTTCATCTACCCATCCATTCATCTATCATTTACCCACCCATTTACCTAATTTACCTATTCATTGCCTACTCATTGATCCATCCATCCATCACCCATCCAGCTACCCACATGTCCATCCATCCACTCATCCACTTGGCCCGTCCATTCATCCATCCACCCACCCATCTATCCAGTGATGCATACACACACACACCCAGCTACTCGTCCCCCCATCTACCTATCCACTCACCCCACCCATCCATCCGTCCATGTATCATACATACAGACATGTACTGAGCGTCCAGTAGCTGCTAGGCTATGGGCCCAAGCCCTTGGACACCACGAGAAGCCGGCAAGCTACTTTACCTCCCTCCATATGAGTCCAGTAGCTGCTAGGCTATGGGCCCAAGCCCTTGGATACCACAGAGAAGCCGGCAGCTACCTTACTCCTCCCATATGAGTCCAGTTGGTAGAGGAGATGGATGTGACAAGAAGGGCCCCCTGACAGATCCTGGGACATCAGGACACACCAGTGCTGCACCAGTACTCTCCATGTGCCACTACCTACAGATGAGGTGCAGAGGAAGGGAAGCCCTGCTGGCCCGGGGTATGTCTCACCCGCTGGGATGTCCCACACAGGACCTCAGCTGTGAGGCCAGGGAGCTGGGATGTGTTCAGCAGGCAGGACACAGCCAACTAGAGAGGTCACAGAGATGGGGCAGGGTCTGACTTAACACTTCCCATGGAATTCCACTCTGGCATCGTCCAAAGCACCTGTCAGATGACGATGCTGGGTCCAGGACGTGCAGCCATCACATAACACACAGGCAGCGTGTTCAGGCTCCCTCTCTGACTTCACCCCAGACCCTGCGGGCACAGGGAGGAGGCCCCTGCTGGCAAGATCAGCAGTTTCTCCTCTGAGGTGTGAGCTCCAGGGATGGGACAGGCCAGGAACTTTGCATGGTGGGGTCAGCTCACCTCTGTGCTCAAAGATCTGTCCTGGCAAGGAGGGATCCCAGGGCGAACACCACAACATGTAGTTAAAGAGCAGACAGACGGTCATGGGCAATGCAAGTGACGGGGAAAGAGGGACTGGGGCCAATTTCATTTTCCTGGGAAATCCCATATGACACAGACACGCCACTGTTATCAGTGCTACCTGCCTTCACCTTCTGCTTGTCTGTTCCCTTCTGTAGGTCTGGGTCACCCGCTCACAGTCGTCACTTATTAAATATGCCCCTCTAGGGCAGAACCAGCCGACCCAGTGCCTGCCCTGGAAGTGTGATACGGTTTAGCTGTGTCCCCACCCAAATCTCACCTTGAACTCCCACATGTTGTGGGAGGGTCCCGATGGAAGTAACTGAAACATGGGACAGGTCTCCTGTGCTGTTCTGTGACAGTGAATGAGTCTCTGACTAATGAGTTCACCTGACGGTTTTAGAATGGGGGTGGTGCCCCGTACAAGCTCTCTCTTTGCTTGCTGCCATCCATGTAAGACGTGACTTGCTCCTCCTTGACCTCTGCCATGATTGTGAGGCCTCCCCAGCCACGTGGAAACTGTTAAGTCCACTAAACTCTTTCTTTTGTAAAGTGCTCAGTCTTCGGTATGTCTTTATCAGCAGCAGAAAACGAAAACGGACTGATACAGAGTTTATCTTTCACCACCAGAGAAACTGTAGGAGTGGAGTTTAAAACAGCCTGAGCCAAGAACCACACCCACAGCCAGGTCCGAAGGGCAAGTCCAGAGACCTCAAGTCAATCCCACATCTAAGCCTGTCTCCATCAGGCCTCAAATGGGCACCCTCACCAGCAGGCAGCTGGCAGCTCCCCAGACCCTTCTGCTTCCAGAAGACTTCAATGGTAAGGAAGGTTTTCTCCCTGAATCACCCGGACAGCACCTAGAAACTTCCTTCCCCTCCAGGACCCCTCCATTAAAGCTGTCCATTCAGAGGAAGCCCCTGTAGGCCCAGAGGCAGCTGGCCAGCCTCCTATCAGCTTCGTTGAGAAGACTCCCATGGGGTAAGGGCCAGCCACTCCATCCCTGTATGTCAGAGCAGGAAAGGGAGCTACCGGGAGCATCAGGGCTCAGGAGGAAAAGGCGCCTTCTCTCCAAGTACAACTCTTGAGGAAATCAGTGGCATTGCCCTCCGAGTGCATCTGCTGGAATCCACCTGTGTCTGGTGCTCTGAGAGCACCCGTGCCCGCAGACGGGGCATGGCAGCCTACCCTCCAGCATGGCCAGGGAGGATCTGTAGCCCTCCTCAAACACAAGATGACGAAGGCAGTCATGGGAGCTCTCCTACAGAGAGAGAACAGGGAGAGCCCCCAGGAGAGAAGCCCCTGGCCCCAAGGTCCCCAGAAGCACTT